CCTCCCTCCCTCCCTTCCTTCCTTCCTTCCTTCCTTCCTTCCTTCCTTCCTTCCTTCCTTCCTTCCTTCCTTCCTCCTTTTCCCCTCCTCTCCAGGAAAGGCGCGGAGTTCGAGCAGCAACTCCTTCAGGGAGGCGACGGGCAACCTCCTCGCCAGGACTCACTCCTTCCCCCTCCCCCTCCCAGGGGCCCCGGCGAGATCGCGCGCGGAACTCTCGCGGTGCTCACCGGCTCCTTCCGCAGGCTGCAGCCCTCGCCTGGCCCACCAGAGGGCGCCCGCTCCCCCTCCTCCTCCCCCGCCCCCTCCCTCCCTCCCAGTCCCGGAGTTGCGCCCTGCAGGCGCGCAAGCGGAGCAGAAGCCGGACTCGGTCGGCGCGTTGCAGGCGGAGCTGCGCGGAATCCAAAGGAGGCTCGCGCGGCCCCCCCCCCCCGGCCTACCATGCAAAGAGGGCTGCTCTCCGCCCGTCAGGCTTGGAGTCGCTTTAGGAGGATGAGCAGCAGCAGCAGCAGCAGCAGCAGCGCCACGGCTGGCCGCTCCCTGGCCGAGAAAGTGGCCCTGGTGACGGCCTCCACCGATGGGTAAGCCCCCCCCCCGGGGGGGGAAGGAAGCTTTGCACCGTTTTGGGACTGCAACTCCCAGAATGCCCCGGGAGGCGTCGCCTGCGACCGTTCTAGGGCAGTGTTTCTCAACCTTGGCCATTTTAAGAATGTGTGGACTTCAACTCCCAAAATTCCCCACCCAGCATGGCTGGCTAGGGAATTCTGGGAGTTGAAGTCCACATGTCTTAAAATGGCCAAGGTTGAGAAACACTGTTCTAGGGGATGCTGGGAGTTGTAGTCCCCGCAGATCTGGGGGGAGGGAGGCGAGGCGCCCAATGGAAGAGATGGCCAGCTTGGGAAGAGCTACTCCTGCGGGGGGGTGGGGGGGTGGAAGCACTTTGCACTCCCCCAGGAGCACTCTTGCGTATTTCGCCAAGGCGCCCAATGGAAGAGATGGCCAGCTTGGGAAGAGCTACTCCTGCGGGTGTGGAAGCACTTTGCACTCCCCCAAGGGCACTCTTGTACACTCAGCCTAGTGTTTGCTTCCCAGGCCTTGCTTTGGAAAGGGTTGTGTAAGTGGGATCCAAAGAAATTGTTGTATCTATTGTGTAGTGGAAGAAGAAATAAATGAGATTGGTGATAAAATGAGGGATGTGAGAGATTAAGAATTAGAACTGATGATTTGTTGTTTTAAACTTAAACTATGGTAATTGTAAACTGATAAAGTTAGAAAACAGGTTTAAGTAGTAATAGAAATTTAAAATAGAAATGGAATATTTAAATGTTATCATGTTAATTGAGGGAAATAGAGAGGGGATAATGAAATGTATTGAGTTGAGTTGTCTATATATGTCTTTACTTTCGAAGGTTTGACCACCCAGCACCACGGTGGGTCCTGAGTACTTTTTCTTAAGAATTTAAAAAAAACACAATAAAATGTGTTAAAAAAAAGAAAGAAAGAAATTGTTTGAGCCTAACCACTATTGCTCTCTCGGCTTTTGTAATCAGCGTTTGCCTCAGGGACAGATTTCATGCAGGCGTGGGAAAACATGTACACGGGTGGGAATTCCTGGAGGAGGGAATATAAGGGGAGTGTACAGGAATGGTGGGTGTCTTCCTTGGGATGTAATGGCTCTGTTGTCTGACTCTGATTGGCTAACAAAGTTTATAAAGCAATGCTAGCAACTTTCTAAGGCAGGGGTCTTCAACCTTGGCCCTTTTAGGACTTGTGGACTTCAACTCCCAGAATTCCTCAGCCAGCATGCCTGGCTGAGGAATTCTGGGAGTTGAAGTCCACAAGTCATAAAAGGGCCAAGGTTGAAGACCCCTGCTTGTGGACTTCAACTCCCAGAATTCCTCAGCCAGCAAAGCTGGCTGAGGAATTCTGGGAATTGAAGTCTCGGCATCTCCAATTTACGTAAGGGCCTGAGACCTTACATTTCAAATTAAACCTTGGGGTGCCCTTTAAAGAGACAAGGAGGCAATTCTTGCAGTTCTGCTAAAAATGTGACTCTGTGTGTGTGTGTTCCCTCCCTGCTTTTCCTTCCTTCTTTTCTTCCCTCTTCCTTCCCTGCTCCTTCCTTATCCTCTACCCCTCCTTTCTTCCATCCAGACTTCCTTCCTTCCTCTCCCTTCCCTGCTTCTTATCCTTCCTTCTCTCCCTCCCTCTTCCATCCATCCTTCCTTCTTTTCCTTCCTTCTTTCCTCTCCCTCTCTCCCTCCATCTCTTCTCTTCCCTCCCTCCCTCCCTCTTGCCCTCCATCCCTTTCCTTTCCCTTCCTTCCTTCCTTCCTTCCTTCCTTCCTTCCTTCCTTCCTTCCTTCCTTCCTTCACTATTTTCTTTGACCCTTGAAAGGGATTGACCCAGTGTGCTCCTTTTAAATAAATTATTTTGGACTCCTTTGCAGACCCGCCAAGGTACACACAGCAATTTGGAATTTGGAAGAGGCAAACATTGAGAATTAATAGTTGATGTTTTAACCGAAAGAAGCCTTTGGACCTTGGCACAATCTTCTCTGATTGATTGGGCTGTAAAATCTAAATTCAGAATGATAAGATTTGCTTTGGAGAAAACATGGATGGATTATAATCTTAGCTCTATTATCTTTCATGATATTTTAGTGTTTCTCAACCTTGGCAACTTTAAGAACTGTGGTCTTAAATTCCCATAATTCATTCTTTCTTTCTTTCTTTCTTTCTTTCTCTCTTTCTCTCTCTTTCTTTTTTTCTTTCTTCCTTTCTTCCCTTTCCTTCTTTCCTTTTCCTTCTTTCCTTCCTTCCCTTTCCTTCTTCCCTTTCCTCCTTCTTTCGTTCTTTCTCCTTCCTTCCTTCCATGCTTCCTTCCCTCCTTCCCTTTCGTTCTTCCCTTTCTTCTCTCTCTCTCTCTTCCTTCCTTCCCTTCTTTCCTTTTCCTTCCTTCCTTCCTTCCCTTTCCTTCTTCCCTTTCCTCCTTCTTTCTTTCTCCTTCCTTCCTTCCTTGCTTCCTTCCCTCCTTCCCTTTCGTTCTTCCCTTCTCTCTCTCTCTTTCTTCCTTCCTTCCCTTTTCTTCTTTCCTTTTCCTTCCTTCCTTCCCTTTCCTTCTTCCCTTTCCTCCTTTTCTTCTTTCTTTCTTTCTTTCTTTCTTTCTTTCTTTCTTTCTTTCTTTCTTTCTTTCTTTCTCCTTCCTTTCTTCCCTCCTTCCCTTTCGTTCTTCCCTTTCTTCTCTCTCTCTCTCTCTCTTCTTTCTTTCTTTTTTTCTCTTTTTCTCTCTTGTTTATCCCACCTTTGTTATTTTATACGTAACTCAGCAGTGAGTTTCTTTCCAGTTTCTTCCTGGAAGCATGGATCAAACATGCAATTACCTGCAACTTAATGAATTTCTAATTTTGTATGCATTTAGAAGAACCTGTTTGTGACCTAATTAAATTGAAGAAGTGTTCTATTTACATGATGGCAGACTCTGAACAAAACCTTCCTTCAGCCAAGCCTTGCCTTCAAACCTTCCAGTCCTTTTTTTCCTTTCTAGCCTCCCGTATTTTTTTGAGTAAATCCCGCTTCAGGCCACGTTTTTGAAATGCCTGAAAAATCACATCATTTCACAATGGTGTAGTTTTCGATACTAGCCAGGTGTGGAAGTTGTCAATCTGGCTGATCTTGATTGGAGAAAGATCTTGTCAGGGATCTAATTTCAGACCTGAAGCACTGAAATGAAGGTCTATACCGTATGCAGGTAGTCCTCACTTAATGACGATCATAACTTCAAACAGTTGTTAAATGAGGACTACCTGAAGGTATATATATGCCTGAGGCAGACTCAGAAAAAGTTACTTGCGACTCCTCCTCAAAGTTACAATGGCTACACAGACACACACACACACAAAACGGTCACCCAATCGCATTTCGGGCTCACATTTACGACCAGTCGCAGCATCCCATGGTCACGTGACCCACAATTTGCTCCTGTTTTTGGCCCTTTTCTGACAGAAAAAAAATGGCCAAAAAAAAGGCACCCACGTGATAGGCTGGATTCACTCAACGGCCACATGGTTCGCATAACGATTGCGCGATTCACTTAGAGACCGTTGTAAAAAAAAAAAAACAGTTGTCAAATCGAAACAGGTCCTCTGGGGACCCGCTTAACGAACCCCAATGACTTATGAGGAAAATTCCGGTCTCGATGGTTATAAGTTGAGGACTAGCCGCATGGTGTGGCTTTCTAATCTGTTTGTCTGGTTGTAAAAAAATATATATGGCAAAACAGAAACCTGTTTTTCAGCTCTGTGAGGCAATTCTGCCTAACCTTAAAAATTATTGAAATTTGGACTGGTTCAGAAGGGAGCCAGAGTCACGTTTGAGGATTTTTTTTAAAATACTGATATATCTTCCAATTTTAGACATTTTTATAGTGTTTTCACATGTTTTCTAACTAAGAACACCAGAAAACTATTACAGGTGGCCCTTGACTTACAACTATTCGTTTAGTGACCGTTCAGAGTTACAACGGCACTGAAGAAGTGACTCGCGATAGGTTTTCGCACTTAACGACCGTTGCGACATCTCTTTGGTGACGTTATCGAAATTCGGACTCGTATTTATGACCTTTGCGATGTCCCGGAGTCAGGTGATCCCCTTTTGCGACCTTCCGACAAGCAAAGTCAATGGGAAAAGCCAGATTCACTTAACAGCCGTATGACTAACCGAACTATTGCAGTGATTCGCTTAACGACCGTGGCAAAACAGGTCGACAAAGGGGGGCAAATCTCACTTTGTAACCGTCCTGCTTGGCAACGGAAGTTTTGGTCACCGAGAATTGCACGAAGAAGACTTGCGTGCCGGATAAATCCCATTGTTGCATTTTCTCTCTTGGCAGAATTGGCCTGGCCATCGCACGCCGGCTGGCCCAAGACGGGGCTCACGTGCTGGTGAGTAGCCGCAAGCAGGCTAACGTGGACCGGACGGTGGCCGAATTGCAGGCCGAGAATCTCAGCGTGTCGGGCTTGGTGTGCCACGTGGGGAAGGCTGAAGACCGGCGGCGCCTAGTGGATGCGGTAAGAGCCCCGCCTCTCCTCCGTGGTGCATCTTGCCCCATTGGGTCATGACAATATAGGAGAGGAGAGGATAGAATAAGAAATTTAGAATAGAATAGAATAGAATAGAATAGAATAGAATAGAATAGAATTAGAAATAAGAATAGAATAGAATTAGAATAGAATTAGAAATAGAAATAGAAATAAGAATAGAATTAGAAATAGAAATAAGAATAGAATTAGAAAATAGAATTGAATAGAATAGAAATAGAAATAGAATAGAATTAGAAATAGAAATAAGAATAGAATTAGAAAATAGAATTGAATAGAATAGAAATAGAAATAGAATAGAATTAGAAATAAGAATAGAATTAGAAAATAGAATGGAATGGAATAGAATAGAATAGAATAGAATCCGACTAAAAGGAATAGAATATAGAATAAAGAGATAAAAAGAATGATGGGATGGGATGGGATGGGATAGAATAGAATAGAATAGAATAATAGAATAGAGAATAAACCAGCTAAAAGGAATGGAATAGAATGGAATACAGAATAAAGAGAATAAAAAGGATGGAATGGAAAGGAACAGAATAGAATAGAGAATAAACCGACTAAAAGGAATGGAAGAGAATGGAATACAGAATAAAGAGAATAAAAAGGATGGAATGGAAAGGAACAGAATAGAATAGAGAATAAACCGACTAAAAGGGATGGAATAGAATGGAATACAGAACAGAGAGAATAAAAAGAAAAGAATAGTTTTTAAAATGATGGTGTTTAATTCCCAGCTCTTACTCTTAGGCCATTGAGCGCTACGGGGGAATTGATATTTTGGTGAGCAATGCCGCTGTGAACCCTTTCTTCGGAAGTATTTTGGACGCCTCCGAGGAAGTCTGGGACAAGGTGAGAGCTTGCAGAAGGGGACCAGAGAAGAAAAAAAGATGGGTTTTGTAGTCCAGAGGGTGCACCCTGGGAGAAGCTTAATGTGCCCCCCCCCTTGTTGGAGGAATCGTCACTCAGACCCGGCCGATCCGATGGAAAGGGCAAACGTCCCCAAGAAGCTGGAAAAATAAACTGGGAAAAACAGTTGGGTACCAAAAAAACCCCGTGTTTTTTCCGCTTGGTAAGCAGTCCTCGTTTAGCGACCGTTTGGACCGATTCCCCCCTCCCCCCCGAAAACGAGTTACAATCTGGTTCCAGAATTCTGACAACGTTGACTCATTTTACGACTGCTGCACTGGCTTTTACGACTCCCCTGTTCACTTTATGCGCTTTGGTTTATGACCGGGGTGATTGCTTTACAATGGCCAGAGGAGAGAAAAAGGTGGGTCAGCAAAACCACCTGGGCGTCTCGTCTTAGCGGCTGTAATGACGTACAACAAATTCCTGCAGGTATCGGTGTTTCCCCGAAAATAAGACCGGGTCTTATTTATTTATTTTGCCTCCAAAAGAGGCACCAGGTCTTATTTTCGGCGTAGGCCTTATCTCACCCCCCCGGCACCGATAGCCCCACCCAGCCGGTCCGCTTCTTCTGGGACTGAAGTTCTGCAGCTGTATTCGGGTCTGCATCTTGCAGTCAGGCTTTTCCAGAAGACCTAAGCAGCCGAGGACCGAGCTATGGATTCAATCCATGGCTTGGTGCTCGGCTGTAGAGATCTTGCAGAACCGAGATATGGATTGAACCCATAGCTCGGTTCGTGGCTGCAGAGGCCTTCCGGAAAGGCCTGTGACTGAGAAATGCAGGCCTGTCTGCAGAAGTGGCCTCAGAAGGAGAAGTGGGCTGGTGAGGAGAGGCCTGGCCGCCAGGTAAATGGGTGCAGGGCACGTGGGGCAGGTCCACACGCATCTACCCCTGCCCTAGCTTGATTTTTAGGTGTGTGTCTCGCCCTAAAACTAGGGCTTATATTAGGCCCACACCCAAAAATGAAGCTAGGACTTATTGTTGGTGTAGGCCAGGGGTCTTCAAACTTGGCCCTTTGATGACTTGTGGACTTCAGCTCCCAGAATTCCTCAGCCAGCATGAGGGAACTATGACCCTTTTATGACTTGTGGACTTCAACTCCCAGAATTACTCAGCCAGGCACACTGGCTGAGGAATTCTGGGAGTTGAAGTCCACAAGTCATCAAAGGGCCAAGTTTGAAGACCCCTGGTGTAGGCCTTACTTTCAGGGAAACACGGGATTACGGTCGTAAGTCGAGTCCTGTGTGTATTTTTTTTTTTAGATATTGGATATCAACGTAAAGGCAACAGCATTGCTGGCCTGTCTGGTGGTTCCTCACATGCAGAAGAGGGGGTGAGTATGCTGTGACATTAATGTTTTGGGGGTCTTTTTTCTTAATTTGTATACAGGCAGTCCCTGTTCATTTCATTTCATTTTTCATTTTTCATTTTATTATATTTATACCCCGCCCTTCTCCCGTGACCATTTATAGTTACGACGGCACTGAAAAAAGGGACCTGTGACCATTTTTCACACTGACGACCCTTGCAACAATCCCCCCCCCATGGTCATGGGATCAAAATTCAGGCGCTTGTCGACTCACGTTTGTGACGGTTGCCGTGTCCCTTTTGCGTCGTTCTGCCGAACAAACTCAGTGGGAAAAATCTGGTGGTTAACCAGATTCGCTTAACAACCTGACTTAACAGCTGCAAGCGTGTCACTTAACTGTGGCAAGAAAGGTCGTTAAAAAGGGGGCACAACTCACTTAACAACTGTCTCGCTTAGCAACGGAAAGTTTGGACTCAATTGTCATAAGTCGAGGACTTCCTGCACAGTTCTGTCTTTCAGTTTAAAGCAGGGGAAAAAAAATTCACTCAATGCAAATATATAGTTTGCCTATATTCTGGTTTCGTTTGGGCTGGAAAATATTGCTTCCCCCCCCCTTTCTTTTTCTCTTTGTCCATTTTCTGGATCAGCCTTGACTACTGGTGTCTCTTTTCTTTCTCGTGACAACCATTTCAAGTTTCTAGTCCTCATTGTGAATTTCGCCAGCCCTTTGAAAGTTGCTCTGTCTTAAGCCCTCTTCTGTTCTCTGAAGTTGCTATAAAGAAAAAGTAAGACCCTAATTCTGATAAATCCCTGGCCTTTATGAAGGAGGGGGTGTGTGTCCTTTTTGAAAAGAGGTAGATTTCGTACTCAAGCCCGCATGCATGAGAAATGCAGCAAATTCTCGGTCGTCCTGGCCCTAGGATCTCAAGAAAGAAAGAAAGAAAGAGAGAGAGAGAGAGAGAGAGAGAGAGAGAGAGAGAGAAAGAGAGAGAGAAAGAAAGAGAGAGAGAAAGAAAGAGAGAGAGAAAGAAAGAAAGAAAGAAAGAGAAAAAGAAAGAAAGAAAGAGAAAAAGAAAGAAAGCTATTTCCTTGCTTCAGAATATTATTTCATTTCACATTTAGGTTCTTAAAAGCTTCTTTTCACTAGATTAGGGAGATATTCCAGAATCCTAATTATTGTTCACAACAGCCCTGTGAGGTAAGTTGGGAGAGGAATCGTGGTGATTGATTCCAGGTGAATAAAAATACGAGACGGGAAGAAAAAGGGGGGAAAAAATAACGTTTCTGCCTCTTTCAATTCCTTGCTTTGTTCCAGAAGTGGCTCCATCGTGATTGTGTCATCTGTTGCTGGATATGTGCCGTTTCCAGTGAGTTGAGCGCCTGCTTTTTTATCTATTTCGCGTCTCTCAGGCGGTCTCTGAAGATGGCATAAAGCAGGGGTAGGCAACCTTGGCTCTTTTATGACTCGTGGACTTCAACTCCCAGAATTCCTGAGCCAGCATGGCTCAGCTTGGAAACCTCTCCCTTTCCCCTCAGCATGGCTGGCTCAGGAATTCTGGGAGTTGAAGTCCACGAGTCATAAAAGAGCCAAGGTTGCCTAGCCCTGGCATAAACGAATTAGGCTCCCGCTTGGCCTCATCAACAGAAGTTGATTCTCCAAATTAGGAGAAATAAATTATTCCCTTTTATTCTGTCCTGGGCCTCCCAGTTTAAGTAGGAGGATTCAGAGAGATTAGATTAGGGAAGGGTAAATAACTGGGATGACTCTTTTAAATAGGATGGAGGGATGGATGATAGACAGATAGATATAGACAGATTTGATAGATAGATCAGTGGATGGATAGATATAAATAAGATGGATTGATAGATACATACAGATACATAGATACATGTATAGATGGATATATAAGATAGAGAGGGATGGATGATAAAGATGGACAGATAGAGATTGGTGATAGATTGACAGACAGATATGATAATAGTTGATGGACGGATGAATAGATAAGAGATAGAGAAGACAGATATAGAGAAGACAGACACAATAGATAAATAGACAAGACAGACAAACAGGGATGGATGGATGATAAAGATGGATGGATAGAGATTGATGATAGATTGACAGATACAGGTAAGATATAATAGTTGGCAGAAGGATGAATAGATAGATGATAGATACAGAAGATAGATATAAATAGATAAGATAGACTAGAAAGAGAGAGGCAGGCAGATAGACAGAAAGACAGACACAGATAAATAGAAAGGGATGGATGATATGGATGGATGATAGGTAGAGAGAAAGAGACAGACAGACAGATAAATAGAAAAGGATGGGTGATATCGATGGATGATAAATAGGGAGGGAGGGAGGGAGAGAGAGACCGACAGACAGATAAATAGAAAGGGATGGATGATAAATAGGGAGGGAGAGAGAAAGAGAGACAGACAGACACAGATAAATAGAAAGGGATGGATGATAAATAGAGAGAGAGACCAACCGACCGACAGACAGACAGATAAATAGAAAGGGATGGATGATATGGATGGATGATAAATAGATAGGGGGGGAGAGAGAGAGAGAGAGAGACCGACTGACAGGCAGACAGACAGACAAATAGAAAGGGATGGATGAAATGGATGGATGATAGATAGGTAAGTAGGTAGAGAAAAAGAGAGACAGACAGACAGACACAGATAAATACAAAGGGATGGATGATAGGTAGACAGACAGATAGATCTGGGGAGGTGGGACGAGGGACGTAAAAAAAAAAGCCCAGATGCCTATCAAAGATACTCCTAAATTCTGCTTCCTTCGCCTCTTCTCTGCTAGAGCTTGGGGCCTTACAACGTCAGCAAGACCGCTCTCCTGGGCTTGACCCGCAACCTGGCCATCGAACTGGCCCCACGCAACATCCGTGTCAACTGTCTAGCGCCCGGCCTGATCCGCACGAAATTCAGCTCACCTGTGAGTATCTTTAGGCAGGAAACAGATTGTAGAGCAGTGTTTTCCCATCCTTGACCAGTTTAAGACGGGTGGACTTCAACTCCCAGAATTCCCCAGCCAGCACAGCTGGCTGAGGAATTCTGGGAGTTGAAGTCCACCAGTCCTAAAAGGGCCAAGTTTGAAGACCCCTCAGTTAGAGGAACATATAAAAGCATAATTAATGTTAATTAATGTAAACTTTATTAGTTTAGAGCAGGGGTAGGCAACCTTGGCTCTTTTAGGACTCGTGGACTTCAACTCCCAGAATTCCTGAGCCAGCATGGCTCAGCTTGGAAACCTCTCCCTTTCCCCTCAGCATGGCTGGCTCAGGAATTCTGGGAGTTGAAGTCCACGAGTCATAAAAGAGCCAAGGTGGCCTACCCAGATCTAGGACAAGGTGATCTAGAGTGATTAATTAGAAAAGAAGCTGAATAATGAGGTGGAGGTTATTTGTAGATATTTAATTGTTATCTTCTAAAATGTACTAATTTAAGGTTGACAAAAGAGAATATTATTGGAAGAAGAGAAAAATCAAGGAAAGCTGCTACGTGGAATATGAGACTATAGAAACCGACTGTTATTGATTATTTGTAAATACAAACCCAGACAACACCCTGTTTACCAAATATTGATGGGGATATGTAAAAAAAAACAATCAATAAAACATATTTTTTTAAAAAAAGAAAATCAACTCTCACCTGTTTTTTCCTCTAAAGTTTTGGCAGGATGAAAATGCAGAACAGGTTATACTGGAAACCATGCGGATAAAGAGGTAACTTGGGATAAATCAAAGTTTTGCAATAAAACAAAGGGCTCATTGATCTGATTTTTAAAAACTTCTCGCAAATTTCAGCTGTTCTTTTTTTGAGGGGATGCGACAGCCTCCCCCCATTTTGTCAAAGGGGGGGGGAAACGCCACAGCTAGCTATTCATGTTTTAGATGTATTTTATTTTAATTCTTTTGTTTAGCGGCGTACAGTGACGTAATAATTCAATTCAATTGGCACTGAGGATTAAAGTATAATTTAATTTTAACTTGTTTTATCGCTACATTTTAATGAAGTCGTGATGGCATTTAACTTGAATTTATAATGATACTTTTCACGCCCTTAGAATTTTCCTAATTCCACTAATATTTATAATTGAATTACAATTTAATTTAGCTGACGCTTACAATTGTGTGGATATTTCAGAGTACATTGTATACGTTCATTTAACTTAAATTTATAATTATATTGCTGCTTATAACATAAGTTCATGTCACTCACATTTATAATTATATTCATGTTGATAACCTCATAATTTAACATATATATGCTGACATAATTTAATTTAGCTTATATTTCTAATTATATTGATACAATTAATACATAAGTTAATTGAATATATATACACACACACACAATATATATATATATATATATACACAAGTAGTTCTTGACTTACAACCACAAATGAGCCCAAAATTTCTGTTGTGAAGCAAGGTATTTGTTAAGTGATTTTTGCCCAATTGTATGACTTTTCTTGCCACAGTTGTTAAGTGAATCCCTGCAGTTGTTAAGTTAGTAACACAGTTGTTACGTGCTTGTCAGAAGGTCTCAAAAGGGGATCATGTGACCCTGGGACACTGCGACTGTCATAAATATGAGTCAGGTGCCAAGCATCTGAATTTTGATCACGTGACCCTGGGGAGGCTGCAATGGTTATAAGTGTGGGAAAATGGTCATAAGTCACATGTCATCATCTCAGTGATGATGTAACTTCAAACAGTCATTAAATGAAATGTTGTAAGTCAAGGACTATACAGTATCTATCTGTCTAATATCTAGCTAGCTATCTACTTTATCTATCTACTTATCTACTTTATCTATCTATCTACTTTATCTATTTATCTACTCTATCTATCTACTTTATCTACTTTGTCTACTTATCTACTTTATCTATCTACATTAGATAGATAGATAGATAGATAGATAGATAGATACTTTATCTACTTTATCTATCTACTTTACCTATCTACATTGTCTATTTATCTACTTTTATCTATCTACTTTAGCTAGCTATTTTATCTATCTACTTTATTTATCTATCTACTTTATCTACATCTATCTACCTATCTACTTTATCTACTTTGTCTATTTATCTACTTTATCTATCTACTTTATTTATCTACTCTATCTATCTATCTACATGAAAGTCTACAATATTTTTCCACAAACGAGAAATTTATATATATATGTGTATATGTGTGTAGATAGGTGTGTGTATGTGTATCTTTATCTACTTTATCTATCTACTTTATCTAGATTTAGATTTAGATTTAGATTTTTAGATTTTATTAGATTTATACCCCGCCCTGGCGGACCCAGGGCGGCTTACAGCAAGCTAAAAACAGATAAAGACCTTACAAACACCATTTTAAAATACAATTAAAAGAAATATTAATTTTGCCGCTTCATTTAAAATTTTGTGAACACCCAATATAAAATCAAATTAAAATCCAATCTAAAATACCCCTCAGGCCAGCCCCGCTAGCTGGAATAGCCATGTCTTGAGGGCGCGGCGGAAGGAGGGGAGATCCGGGATGACCCGGATCTCTGGGGGTAGTTCGTTCCATAGGGAGGGGGCTCCAACAGAGAAGGCCCTCCCCCTGNTAAAGATGATAATCAGCACCTTGAAGCGCACTCGAAAGGCCACCGGTAGCCAGTGCAGTTCGCGCAGCAGCGGCGTTACATGGGAGCGACGAGTAGCTCCCATCACCGCTCGCGCGGCTGCATTCTGGACTAACTGGAGCCTCCGAGTGCTCCTCAAGGGGAGCCCCATGTAGAGAGCGTTGCAGTAGTCCAGGCGGGACTAGCTAGCTATTTTATCTATCTACTTTATTTATCTATCTACTTTATCTACATCTATCCTACCTATCTACTTTACTTTGTCTATTTATCTACTTTATCTATCTACTTTATTTATCTACTCTATCTATCTATCTACATGAAAGTCTACAATATTTTTCTACAAACGAGAAATTTATATATATACTATGTGTATATGTGTGTATATAGGTGTGTGTGTATATCTACTTTATCTATCTACTTTATCTACTTTATATCTATCTACCTATTTACTTTATCTACTTTGTCTATTTATCTACTTTATCTATCTACTTTATTTATCTACTCTATCTATCTACATGAAAGTCTACAATATTTTTCTACAAACGAGAAATTTATATATATATATGTGTATGTGTGTATATAGGTGTGTATGTGTGTGTGTGTGTATATATATACACATGCACATATATATACATACACATATATTTACATACATACACATATATCTACACACACACACACACAAATATAAACTGAGGAATTCTGGGAGTTGAAGTCCACAAGTCATCAAAGGGCTAAGTTTGAAGACCCCTGTTCTGGATGAAGATAAGAAATCCAATCTTGGGGTCTCCTAAAGGTCCTCTGTCCACTAACCAGATCTCCCTTCTCTTCTCTCCCCCCCCCCCCAGAATCGGAGTCCCGTCGGATTGTTCTGGCATCGTCTCTTTCCTTTGCTCCGCCGATGCCGACTATATCACCGGGGAGACGGTGGTGGTGGCCGGTGGCACCCTATCTCGTCTTTGACGAGGAAATCATGGTGTCTTCCAGTTCAGCTAGGACGATGGATAGATAATCACATGAGGGTACCCCGGAAATTAATTGTGGGGATGATTTGGGGGGGGGGGTAATTAGGAGTCTCAGCAGCTCCCAGCTAGGATGGTGATTGGATCAGTTTCAAGAGAGAGGGAGGTCAACAGTCTTAAGAAGCACCAAAAATGGAGCTTCTGCTAACCAGGTTAGGTGTGTGTGTGTGTGTGTGTGTGTGTGTGTGTGTGTGTGTCCGTCCTGTTGGATTTCGGGTGGAAAACACAAGGAGCAGAATTGCACACGGCTGAGGTTTAGGAATCCCCGTGCAGACATGCGCGCGCAAGGAGACCCCTCTGTGTACAAGCTCGCTCCGAGCTCTGTTGAGGGAAAAGGTGGCTAGGTTGATCCTGGCTTGTTTAACTTCATACCTCTTGGAGGTTGGGGAGGGGAGGGGGATGCGGGGAAGGAGGGGGNCCCTCTTCTTCCTTTCTGATTTGATTCTGCCTTCTGGGGATGGGGGGGCGGCAGCAGGTGCGTGCCCCCCCCAATTCCTCCAGGTCCCCCCCTCCTTCCTAGCCAGCTGCCTTCCTGAGCCCCTTCCCATTTGTTTTGCCCCTGCTGTGTGCTGGGGATGGAGGCAGGGTGGAAAAAAACGGTCCAGCCAGTTGCTTTTTTAAAAATAAAATTTGAAAATAAAAATAAAAATGGGGGGGTGGGCGGATCAGGGCTTCCCCCCCACCGCCCCCCCCACCGCAGAGATCCTCAGCTTGGCTTTGGTGCTGATTCAGCATCGCTTCGCTTTTCATTTCAGCTCTCCATCCTTCTCTGTCTCTCCATCCTTCTCTCTCTCTCTCTCTCTCCATCCTTCTCTCTCTCCCTCCCTCCAGCCACCTCTCTCTTTCCCAGCCCCCTCCCTTTTTTTTCCCCAGCCGTGTCCCGTGCTTTTTCCTCCTCCCGATCCCTCCATCATCATCTCTTCGTCTGCCTCTTTCCCTGATCCGTTTCAAAGCCGGCTTCCAGGTTTTTTTTGGGGGGGGGTCCCACAAGCTCTTTTCCCCCCCACCCTCCAGGACCACCCCACCCCACCCTCCTGCTCTCTCCATGGGGCTGTCTTTTTTCCCAGCCCCCACCCGCGGTATTCCCAGAGGAGATCCTCCTCCATCGGTCTACTGCCTCTCGCCTTGGGTGTGTCTCTGAAGAGCATCTGTGCGTTTCCAGATCTGGCGAGTGGCTTTTTTTAAAAAAAAAAAAAAAATACAATAAATTGGAAAAAATTCGCCTTCCAGCCTGTTTCGTGGGAATTCAACGCTGGGTAAGTGTGGGAATTATTCTGGGATCTTCTCCAGGTGAGGAAGGAGCTTGTTGCTTTGGGGTTTTCCTGCATGCGGCGGTCGTTAAATGAAACCCAACCTAATATATATATATACATATATATATATATTTCCACCCATCAGACACACTGGATCTTCTGTGCAGGTCTGGGGTTTTTTGCAAGGCTGCTGAATTTGCTAAGCCATGTTTTCATCCTTGTGGCTATTTCACGCTTAAAAGATCCAGGCGGCGAATTGGTGATCTGGGGTTAGTTTAATGCTGGCTAAGGCTTGTCCAGCTTTGCTGGCCAGGAATGTTGGGGGGGGCACGTTTTGTCTGGGGTGGGCTCTGCAGCTGACACCAATGCTGCCTGGGTGTGTAAAAGCCTCTCCCAATATGTGCAGGGAGGAGGGGGGGGTGGCTTACACTGGGTCCCCTTGCCCTACACCCTGCCTGGAATATTTTTGCATGTGCAAAATGTCTTAGATTTTGTGTGTGCGATTTGTGTTTTGTGTGTGTGTGTGTGTGTGTGTGTGTGCAGCCTTCTGCTGACTGAGCATGAATTCCTGCTCTTTTTTTTTTTGCAGCTCGTATTTGGTTTGGGGGAGCCCTGTTGTGGGTTGTTGTGTTGTTGTTTTTTAAAGCCCACCCGTTTCGAGTGCCTGATACACGGGTGTGCGCTCACGCGCATGTGTGTGTGTGATCTTTCTCCAGTGATGTCAACCTGCCTGGTGTGGCGGACAGAAGCTTCGATCGTGGTCCTTGTTTACAAAAGTGCCTGGGTGTGTGTGTGTNGCATGTATGGTCCTCACCAAACCCCCACCCCCCAACTGGCTGTCCTTGGGCTCTACAAAGCACTTAGATTGTCTGTGGCTCCACCAGATTCCTCCACAGACCTCAGAAAACCCATGTCTTCTGATATTCCAGGTGTCCAACTCTTCTCCAATTCCGTGCACCTCCAGTTAGAGTCTTGAGGAACATCAACAGATAAGTCCTGGACTATTGCTTTGTTTGTACTTGGAAGACTTTTACGAGTGTGTGTGTGTGTGTCTTATAAACTACAAAGAGCAGCAATCTGTGCTGAGAAGATTCCACAACATTGTGCCCGGACAGCAACACCGATTTTTTTTCCAAACAAATTTTTGCACTTTCACGCCTGTTTTTCTAAACTTTCATATAATCCCAACTCTGCCGCATGTTCGTGACCACTAAATGTTGGACTCGCCCTACCGATAGTTTCTTCCGGCTTCAGTCCACAGAGGCTGCCAAGAAGTCTTCTGGATTCCTTCTCGGTGCTCCATAGTTGGCGTCCAAGGAAAATAAAACAAGCCGGCATTAGCAAATTGGAATTGCAGTTCACCCAAACCTTCTGGCCACAGAAACGGGGAACGGCTGCCAGATTGATGTCTGGCTATCCAGAAGGAGCCATGGAGGGCTGAAGCCGGTCTAGGTGGAGCCCAGCCATGTAGAAACGACTTTGACGGGCAGCAGAGATGCGCACGGGGACTCGGAGGTAACTGCGGCCCGACTGACCGGGGAGAAAACATTACATGAATGTCCAACGGAGGCAGATTTGAGTTTGATGATGGAGGCTGCTATGTCGGCGACTGGGAAGAGGGCCGGGCACATGGCTACGGGGTGTGCACAGGCCCAGGCGCCCAGGGGGAGTACAGCGGGCGTTGGAGTCGTGGTTTCGAATCTCTGGGCGTCTACACTTGGCCCAGCGGAAACACCTACCAGGGTTTCTGGAGTCAAGGCAAGCGCAGCGGCCTGGGCACCGAGCGGAAGAGTAAGTGGAGTTATAAAGGGGAGTGGTGCCACGGGCTGAAGGGCCACCTGGGCATCTGGGAAAGCCACTCGGGAGTCGTCTACGAAGGCATGTGGCGCGAAGGTCTTCAGGATGGCTACGGGATGGAGACCTACGCGGATGGAGGTGAGCCAGGAGAACATGTCAAGAAAGGGTTGGGGTGGTCCATTGTTTCTTCGTGGCCCGGTGGTCCCGATTTCATATTTGTCATCTGATTGTCTCTGTCCACCTGGCGCGTGACGCCGTGTCCCTGTCTAGTTAAGATCGATAAGATACACCTTTATTGTCATTTTTTAACTGTGGGGAACAGTGGCCCTCGTGAAAAATGAGATTCTGTTGCCTGCTCTCAAAATACATAGCACACATATAGATGTGCTACATATACGCATTGGCATATACCTACACTCTTACATATAAGTAACATATAAATATTAATCACTGTCCATCTTGAATGCGTAGCGGATGGAGAAAGCTTGAGAGTTCACAAGGTTGATGTTATATGGAACGAATCCGGATGTTCTGCTTTGGATATCACAAAGCCCCCTGCCACAAGGCAAAAAGGGAAACTGGTTGTGAGGAGGGTGTGTAGTGTCCCAGGTAAACCTGTGGACCTTGCTTGAGCAACACCTACGTGCTATGTGTCTTGGAGAGAAGTTCTCCTCCACAAGTTTGTTGAGGGGCAGCTAGAGAAGACTTTAGTTCTTTCCATCTCTCCACACACTTTTTGTAAACTGTTGCTTCATCTCTTCATCTCGATGTTCCTCAAGTGTGCCATCTGGGTGTCCTAAGATGGTGGTGGTGGTGATCGTGGTGGTGATGGTTGTGGTGGCAGTGGTTGTGGAGTTGGTTGTGGTGGCGTTGATTGTGGTGGCATTGGTTGTGGCGGTTGTGGTGGCAATGGTTGTGATGGTTGTAATGGTTATAGTGGCAGTGGTTGTGGCAGTGGTTGTGGTTGTGGTGGCGATGGTTGTGGCGATGGTTGTGGCGATGGCTATGGTGGCGATGGTTGTGATGTGGTTGTGGTTGTGGCAATGGTTGTGGTGGCGGTGTTTTTGATAGCGATGGTTGTGGTAGTTGTGGCGATGGTTGTGGTAGTTGTGGCGATGGTTGTGGCGATGGTTGTGGCGATGGTTGCGGTGGCAATGGTTGTGGCAAGCATAGGGATGGTTGTGGCAGTGGTTGCGGTGGCGATTGTTGCGGTAGCGGTGGTTGTGGCAATCGTGGTGGTGATGGTTGCAGCAGTGGTTGCAGTGGTGATGGTTGTGGAGGTGGTGGTTGTGGTGGGATGGTTGTGATTGTGGCGATGGTTGTGGTGGTGATGGTTGTGATGGCTGTGGTGGCAATGGTTGTGATGGCAATGGTTGTAGTGGTGATGATTTTGGTTTTGGTGGTTGTGGTGGCAATGTGGTCCAATAAAGGTGGTTAGATTTCTTCATATGCTTTCAAACATCGTTGTTTCGTTCTTTCATCTAGACCAGGGGTACGCAACCTTGGCTCTTTTATGACTCGTGGACTTCAACTCCCAGAATTCCTGAGCCAGCCACGCTGAGGGAAAAGGGAGAGGTTTCCAAGCTGAGCCATGCTGGCTCAGGAATTCTGGAAGTTGAAGTCCACGAGTCATAAAAGAGCCAAGGTGGCCTAGCCCTGGACTGGATGTTCCTCTAGAAGACCATCTGCCCCAAGATAATGGGTGGAGGAGGTAGTTGTGGTGACAGTGGTGATGATGATGATGGTGATGGTGGTGGTGGTGGTGGTTCTTTCCACTTCTCTCTCACACCATTGCACACCATTGCTTCATTTTTTTGTCTAGATCAGTGATAGCGAACCTTTTAAAGACCGAGTGCCAAAAACTGGCCCCGCTCCACCCCCACCCTGCCTG